GATTAATTAGCGCGCGAGGGGGCTCACGGTGTTCGTCGCGTAGTTCAAATTTCGCGAAAAATCGCCACGCCGGTTACGCAACCGGCGCGCGACAACCGGCGGCGGCGGCGGCGGCGGCAGCAGCGGCAGCAGCAGCAGCAGTAGCAGCTGATAAAAATCCAATAGCCCCAGTGTTTGCCAGCCGGAAAGGGCAATCACGTTCATCATGGTGTCCTGCGCTCCCGCCGCCGTCGCCTCCCGCCGCCTCTGCCGCCACCGCCGCCACTTCCGCCGCCGCCGTCGCCGCGGTGCCACCCTCCGCCGCCCATCTCGCGTCCCTTCTAACCCCCGTGCAGTCTCCCCTAGCTTCAACAACCGACAGCTCGAGCAGTTACGTCCTACGAGCCCTGAACGTAGCCGCCCCTGGAAAATCCGGGGGTGGGATTCAACGTGCGCGCACGTTGAGGAACGGAACGGTTTAGGGAGTGACGAGGAGGGACGGAGATTGAAGGGGAGTTCGCCGCGCCGTAAGGGAGCCGGGGGCACGGTGGGGGCAGAGAGCGACGAGATAGGGGGATGAAGGGGGGGAATAGGGTGGATGAGCGGCACAGCACCACCGGTCAGATAAACGCTAAAGCAAATAAATCCGCTACTTTAACATGCAGGTCACCGCAGGTGTCTGTTTATTTTATTCGTTAAATATTTCATTTGGCCGGCTAGGGCCAATTACGAGCGCGCCGAACGGGTCCGGCCTCGCCGTTTCGCTCTGACGAGCCGCGCCGAAACTCTCTGACGCGCCTCGCGCGACAATTTCTCGTTTCGCGACAGGAAACGTAAAAACGTAATATTTGCCGTTCGCAGATATCGTAAACTTGAGTCCTGATTGAATTTCCAACATAGATTTTAAGCCATTTTAATTTCTGAATAAATTAGTAATTGTTTGACACCGCGATTAAATAATAATAAAAAAATCTGTATTTTAAATTGAACATCAACTTACATTTATCAACATCTACGAATAAAAAACGCCATTATACAGTTATTATAAAATTCTTGTGCAATTTTTAATCTATAACTTCTTTTCTCTATAAATAATACAATTAATTTATTAAAAAGATTAGAGTTGCAAACTTGAAGTTGAGTATTTATTAAAAATAATCCATTTGTGAAAATGTTTCTTAACAGGTAGATTGAAAGAGGTGGGTCGATTTCTTGGTCTCCTTCGTGTTCACTAAACTGATTTGAGCTCATTGAATTTCTTTCTATGGGAACATGTTAAGATTATTACTCAATAATTTTAGTCAATAATCTCTCACTTTTTAGACTATACCTTCAGATTAATATAATTCGATAAAATAATTATAATATGATTCGAAGTATTTTATTTTCAAAATGTAATGATAGAACTTCAGAATTGTATTTCGATTTATATACATAACGTGACGGTGGACGTGTTGAGAAAGAACAATCCAAAGAATAAACCGAAGAGTAAACCTAGAATCTTCATTCACTCTTCTAACGGATTAATTTTTTCGTATATAGAACGGAAGTTATGAAAATTTAAATACTGCACAGAAATTTTACAATAGTCCCGTATGTCGGAAATTATGAAAATTTAATTTTTGCATAAGGATTTTATCATCGTATCGGAAATCATTATTGTTACCATAATTATGCGTGATTTAAATTTGTATAAGCATTTCTACTTTTTCGTTAGACAACTAATTTTATTACAATCATTTTCGTATTAATAAATAATCTGGGATAACTGCGGACAAATTTTTCTACTATATCTGGATATCTGCCTTTCAATAATGTAAGCACGAAAATTTCTTATATACATAGATCATAAGAAATTAATTATGGCTTTAACTGCTTTAACATTAATTCGTACGACTTCGACTTTTATTTAGCACTTGTAATTAGAGATAAATATACACACGATATAAATTTTTAACAGAAGTCTTATTCATGTATCAGTAAAACTAAATTGCAACGATAATCTAGCTTCACCAAATATCATTCTCCATCGTTATATTACAATCCTATATTTGTAAGTTATAAACGAAGAAATAATATCTAAGTGGCTAAATAATATGAGTATTGAGTACAATTATATTTTGAAGAAATATGCAGAATAATAAATTCGGATTCTCTTTCTCTTATCTCTTCATAGCTTCAACAAACCATACCTACATCATCAGGGAAGAAAAAAAAGAATAAAATCTAACGCCGTCGGACCTCGTATCAATGTTGCAGGTATGGTTCCAGAACCGGCGCGCGAAGTTTCGCAAGCAGGAGAGACTGGCCCAGCAGAAGTCCACGTCGCAGAGCGGCATCGGGGCCGACAGCGGCGCGTCCAGCCCCGTGACCGGCACCGTGAAGGCGGAGGGACGCTCGCCGAGGAGTCCGGCGACGCCACCCGGCGGCTCGAACAGCGTGCTGTCGTCGAACGAGATCAAGCCGATGGCCAACCAGAGCCTGGTGAACGTGAAGCACACCGCGGACGGCACCGGCGACGGCTCGCCCAACGCCCGGGGTAGCAGCGGCGGCGGCGGCGGTGCCTGGGGCTCCTGCAGTCCCAGGCCCTTCTCGGCGGCCCTGCCGCCCTACCTGTTAGACCCGCTGCCGCTGAAAACCGCGAACCTCTACTAAACCGTCTCTCCCGTTACCGGTCCGGCGAAGAGTGTAAATACAGAGAGCCGCCCGCTCGTCGATACGGAGATGACGCGCCGTTCAGGTTCAGGAAGGCGTCCAGGTTTTTTTCGCGGGCTTCGGTTCGCCGTCGCACGCGAAATTCATCCGTATCGCGCGGTATATTTAAGGACTCCGGTAAGACGCGCCGCTCACATATTTTTGACAAAGATACATTTAGGCAAGTCGGGAGAACGGGCAGAAGGGTGTGTCAGCTTGCTCGGAGGTAGCCGTCTGTTGAGATACATTCCGAAATTTGTGTGCACACACAAGACAGTGCGTTAAATGCCAATCATTGAAAAATTAAGAGTCGAGGTGAATGTAACTTAGTGAATTTCGATTGTGGTATCATTGTGCAGAGATTTAGAAGCCAATCGGATATCGTCTCTTAAGTTTTGACAGAGAAATGATTCTTAACATCAAATATTTTTTAGCAGTATATTATAAAGCGTGTTATTCGTTCGTTCTGCATTCCTGTGATAAGTGTAAAGACATTTGAGTAACATATATATTTGAATAATATACATTTCCTTGATTTCTTTCCGATTGCTTTAATTTACACGTTGAAGTATTTGTATAGATAGAGAAGAAAAGAGAAAGAGAGAGTAGCGTACGTTACATGTAAAATATTGTTTCTGTTGGTATAAATACGCTGTATTATTTAACAAAATAATTTTAAAGAAAAGCATAACTTGGGAAACGCTGTTTTAAAAGATCACTATCCAGATTGAAATCGAGACTACTAACCAAAGTAATTGAAAAGTAATATAAATGGATTTAAACTCGTATCAGATTCACATTCCGACTGATATCGAAGAGTTTGTACAAGCGTTTGCTCTAAACGACAACTTTAATGTTCCCGAGAAATAAGAGTAAAACAGAATTATAGACTCTCTTATATTGACTCATTCAATATGTTAAAATTCTAACTAATTCTATATTTGTTAAGATTAAAACTTGAAAAAAATAATGAAATTAATCTAAACGTAATATACTTGACATTATAAAATTAGATATAAAAAACTTTTTTCTTTTAATTAGAAATTCATTCCATATCTTTTAATTTATCATTACATTCTTTTTAATATCTTTTTAATTTACCATAAATGATTTTCTTGGAAATTTAATGAATCAATAACTAATCCATTTGGAGTATTAAATAGCACTATTGTGATCATTAAATTAATGTAAGGTAATCTTGAAGTAAAAATTCAAATATATTGCATTATTTTTATTTAATCAATTCGTAATAATCATAAGGCAGGAAGATAATAAGCTTCATCCGAAACACTAATTTGATGAAAATGTTATTAGAGCATCGCTCTAACTCTCGTGGGACATTAAGTTTTCGTTTTCAGTATATGCTTTCCATTTCTATTATTTTCCGTCGACAATGCCAAGCTAGAATTAACACAAGAGGAACACAGCGTAGAATAGTATTCATAAAAGTACTATTAATCACGCGATTAACTGGCCTAAACAGATTAGTTTATCGGGATTGATTTACCTAAGTAAATTACGCTTATTATCGCGAAAAATCTCTTACGGTATTTATTATGTGTATCAAGTAGCAAAAAAACATAGACTTCCACAGTAAAGTCCTTGACGCAAATCCTTGACCGAATGTACTTTGCACTGATTTAATGCGCGATTCCAGCGACCTGTCGAATAATTAATTGATTAAATATTAAGAGCAGCGATCAATAGACAAAAAAGAGGAAGAGAGCGAAATCTTGCTTGGTGTCGAAATAAGAGTGACTCTCATACAAGAATTCATTTTGCTAAATCAAGGAAAAAGAATAATATTTCATGATAATATTATTGTGTCAATTGTTACACTGCATTTTGGAATTTTGACTGGGGATTTATATTCATCTCAACCAAAAAATATTTATATTGATCCTTTGACTGCCGATGACAAGAACTTTCGTCATTTTGGACTTTGCGTTCACTGCTGCGAAAATGCATTTTGTCGTCATAAAATATATTTTGTTACATTAGAGTTGCTATGTGATTTTATCGCCGAAGCAAAGTGAAGGTAACTATGGGTTTTTGGGAGTGCTAAACGTGATTTTTTTAGTCCGATTTGCAAAATGTTGCCTAAAAAAACTTGTGGCTGCATGTCACAAAAATATTCTTGTTATGACATATTTTGTTATATGTTTTCAAGTTTTACAATGAATTAATGACTGTAACAAGGTATATTTAGGAGGTTTTGGCTGTGCTAAACATAATTTTGAAATCGGTTATAACAAACAATTTTTTAAATCTGACTTAAAATTTGTCATCATCAGTTTCTATATAAACTTTCATTAATTTTCACGAATCTCGAGAAAAATGGTGTGGCAATCAAGGGGTTAATATTTATATTTTCCATGTGCAAAATGTCTATATTAGTCTAAAAAAAACATGGGAAACTGATAGCCAGTCCAAATCCAATTAAGATTGACACTTATTAACTATTAATTTGATATCAACTCTATATATTCTATTGTTATAAAACTTCTGTTGCAAGCCTACGACATTGCAATTTGTTAAACTTCAATTTGGTAAATATGTAAATTTAGAGTGTACAAAACTCTACGAAGAAAGTCTTATATCAAGAATCGCTGTAGCGCGCGAGACGATTGATTCGCGTTAATTCGCAGATCGACGGAATTTCTTCTTAGAAGGTCCTTAAGATAGATACTTACATACCGTCCTGTGTGTCTCGTACCAAGAAGAGCGAAGGTACCTGTCTTATCACAATATAACGATGGACAATTTCGGCAGTGGTCTGACTCGTTCGTCGCGTGTGCGCCGATAAACGAGCGCACCTTTATTCTGCGTATGTATAGTTTATCGATTACGACTGAATCTATTTTATAGTGAGATGTATAAATGTACATTAGTTAAGACGAAAGGTATGTATAGTTCACCTGAAAATATTTTTTTTCCTTTCATAAGTCTCGTCTCAGATCCGCCTTAACTTTCAGAGGTCCGTCTTAACTTTCAGAGAGCGATTGGGTGTATCTCCCTCAACTATATCAATAACAATATGCTATCACTGATAATTGTAGCTAAGCTAGAGACATATTTGAAATTGTTACACTTGTTATGATATTTTTTTGCAATTCTTAAAAAGTATGTTGTTTATACAGGATATAGTTTTATAAAGTATCAAAACGTTAATTGGTTAGAAGAAATCGATGTCCAACGTCTAACGGACAAAAAATCGCCACTAGTTATAAAAACTTTAGAAATTACAAGAAAAAAAAATCAATATTTTGCAGAGACGTAAATCGAACGTTCCTCTGAAAGTTAATGACAATAGCGTGTGCGAAAATTTCTATCGTGTCCCGAGGCAATCCATATCCCAGTTCGATAACGAATGTGATTTTTTAACGAGGCATTTTACAAAACTGCGTATTACTGGCGCGTAACGCGAGCCGCGCTTTCGCCCCGTCTCCGCGCGAAAGACGCGCATTATCGATTATACGCGACGGCGCGCGCGGCGACGAGATGGGAAAAGGCTCGTCTCCGCAAGCCAGGAAGCGTTCGTGAACTCTGAACAGCTTCGTTGCTCCCGCCATTATTGTTAAGATTAACGAATGGTAATTATCGATATGTGTGAACCGGAACTTGTACAGTTGTTGCTATAAATATATGAAATTAGTGTTTTACACCATACTCATACTCACTTCTCTCCGTTGAAATCACTCCAGCGATTCCCACAACAGTTTCGTTGGAGATCTACTTTCAAGCAACGTCACAGTCAACATTTATATTGCTATTTCAATTTATCTAATGTTAATTTAATGTTATATTTGTTCTGTTACATCTTCCTATGGTGTTTGATATTTTTTCTTATATAAATTAAAAACCGTTTTTACCTTATTCCGTTCGGGTAAAAAAGAATGTTCAGAAAATTTCAAGTACACATTTATTGAAAATCATAATTAAATTAGTTTCTCGTCTTAGTCGTCGGTTACATCGTTGCTGCTGGTCGTAGCCCGGTTATTATATTTATTAGATTTTATTCGTATTCATATCTCCGTATGTGTCGTCCGCGAATATCCGCTGCAATCGATGCCATGTGTTCAATTATTACGCTGTAAATAACAAAATCTTTGTCCTCAAGTTAAAAATCGATCAAGAAAACACTTACCCGTGGCAGAGTTTTTACGATCGTTACACCGCACATAATTCCGATTTGTTATGCGAAATAGTTAAAAAAGCTGTGCATCTTTAATTTCCATGATGCATTCTATTTCGCAATTTTAATGGAGGAGAGAAAAAGGCATTATTTAATATGCCTAATCTTGAGCAATGCTAACGATTAAAAACGTTAAACAGTGAGCAATATCAGCGATATAAAACAGTCTGGCAATTTTCGTCGTTACTTATTGAAAATATCTCCGTCCGTAAGCTTTCTATATAAATAGGTTGTCTCTAAATCTCTATTTATGTCAGAAAAATTTGATGGGAGTCAATATCTTAATAAGTTGGTTTGGATCGAATTAACAAGATAAAAAGAGATCTTAAGTTTAAGTCTGAAATAAAATTTTGATCAAGTGTGAAAATAAATAGAAATATAGAGATCAGAAATTATCCAGAAAGATTTTTCACTTTTATCGAAAAAGAAAGAAACAAAAATATTTGAGCAATAAATTCGGCCAAAATAGTTATAAGTTCAGGGATATTCAATTTGCCAGTGTCTTTACAAATCCAAGTCTGACATCTCGCGGATCGATTTTCGAGTCGTAATCTCCTATTTCCTGATTAAGAATAAAAAGAAAAAGAAGAAAAATAAAAGTTTCGTACGTTCGTATAATTTCTCGTCAACAGATTAGTCGTTTGCGCAGTAGTATCGTCATCAAGGATCACTCAAGTTGCTATGAAAATCGCATGAAACGAGAATCGTAGAATATCTAACTGGTGAAACTGGCAGTTTTAACTCTTGCAATACGAATCTCGTAAAATTTTCATAGCAACCGGTGCAAGCCATCGTGACGATTGAGCGTGAATGGGTCTAATTGACTGCGAGAATAAATCCACATATTGTTGATAACTTGCGATCAGATAACGCATTATTTTAATAATGGCAATTTTTTATATAATAATTTTTAATAATGACAAAAAAATCGACTCCCTCTTTAAATCCAAAATTTAAGACAAAGAAAATTTTATAGATAAACGTCTTTAGAAAATAAAAGTACTTATTAAATAAGTCTATTAATCAATAGATAAAAAATCGTATATTTTTATTTTTTTATATTTCTAAACATAATTATTAACCATTATTAAAACGACAAATTTATACATTGGTTCGTGTAACAAATAAGTAGATTATTAAGTTCAATAATGAATTGATTCGTAACACGATCAATGCGCGATTTTACATCGCAATATTATCAACAACAATTGCAGTGGATTATCCGTGCGCGATCGATTCTTGTCGACCATAGAGTCAAGCAGACACCATTATCCCGCACTACGGCGCTATTCGCGATAATGAAAATGTAGTCACCGACATTATCGAATCGTCGTAATCTATAGGAAAGGAGAAATCGAAATTCCCGGAGCAGCGCGTTCGTCTGTCGTCGGATACACAGTCAGACGCCTCTATATATAGATGTATTTACATTAATATATAAGACTGGATCGAGGGTGTTCCTCGAGCGGCGCGTAAAGGGGGAGGATAGAGCCTGCCAATTAGGCCATCGTGAGGGTGCCTGCGCCTATTCCGAAGCCCACGCCTTTGGGCCCAAAATTCCGGCTGTAGCAGCCGCGGCAGTAAATGTCCCCGTCCGGACCGTCGTTCAAGTTCGTCGAATCCAGGGAACGGTGGCATTCGCCGCAGTTGAAGCACCGCTTGTGCCAAACGCGGTTCTTCGAGATCATCTGCTCGGCGGCGTACACCGGGTAGCCGCAGCGCGAGCAACCGTGCCCGTCGTTTCGTTTCTGGCCCAGGTCGGGCTTGGAGTCGATGCTGCGAAAAATGAAAAACGACGTCTGGGAATCTGATGTGATAGAGCGAAAGGGAAGACCAGAAAATGGTCTGATTTGTCAAGAACAATTGAGGTAATCCATGCATAATTATGTATGTATTATTATTTTCAAATGTATTTTTCGTTGAAATTATCATAGTGTAGATAAAAAAAGTAATGTAGAAAAATTGTACGCGGCTCAATAAATCTTATCTTTCTATATAGATTTCTTGCGCGCAGGTGCATGGATGAAAAGAATAATAGAAAAAAGTAACAGCTTGTTCCAGTATTTCCGTACATAAATCATGACGCTGTGTTTAATAATCCATTCCTATAACTTGCTTCTCACACGATTACTCGAGTGTTAAAAGAAAATTCTAATCAGAGAAGTAGGTCGATTATCAAGATCGTTATCAATCATCGAAGTTTCCCCGACAGCAAACTTTTCGCTATTGTATATTTTACACCGTGTTTCAGAAACTAATTACTCTTGGGAAGCACGTCGAGATGCACTTACTATGAGGGGGCATGATCTCCGTTCGTCGAGATGAGAGTCGGTTTGTGGCCGAACCCGAAGCCTTTGGGCCCGAAGAGCTTTCCGTAGCACGCGCGGCAATGGATCTCCTTGTCGGGGCCGTCGCATGCCAGCATGGAGTCCAAGGGTCGGTGACACTCGGCGCAATTGAAGCACTTCTTGTGCCACATGGTGCCCTTGGCGAGCTGTTGTTCAGCGGCGAACACCATGCCACCGCAACGGGGGCAACCCTGCCCAGCTGGCGCCTTAATCGAGGTCGTATCAGGATTGTAGTAAGGTCGACTGGCCGAAATTTCTTCCTCCCTGCGGGTAATTAACGCGATTACGATACGATCTCGCCTGGTCGAATTTATATGTTTCATTTAATCTTATGTCAACTGAATTTTTAACTGTTTAATTTCACTCAAACCGATAGGTCACAATAATAAAGTATGCAAATGAAGATGTATGCGCTGAAATTCGTAAGATTTTCTCTTATGATCGTGCTAATTCCGCTTGAAATTTAAATTTCATCTTTTATCTTCCAATTTCAGTATCTGTTAGTCCCTTCGAAATGTACTTGTCATTTTCCTCTTAAATTATGTCACAACATATAAAGTATTTTTATAACATGTTTTTCAATGATTTTTGTCCAAGATCGAAACTTCTTTCGTGAACTTTCGTGTTAGAAACATATACTTCACATTTATATAAAAAACTCGCTAAAGTTTTATATATAAGTAGATAAAATAATGCTCACACAAATTTTCTTTATGAACTTAGTGGTAAAAACTTTTTCGTAATTCTATCAATAATTACTTTATTAATTAGTTTCCGCTAACTATGGTCAATATCTTATGCTTAAACGCATTGCGAATCTGCAAAGTCACTCAAAGTCTTTACGAGTCTTCGTTCAACGCGCTTTACAGGCCCGGTGGAGCTCGGTTATTTAAAACGACTTGTATTTATAGTCGCGCGTTCAGCAGAGGGTTACGCGTAAACTCCCAGCATTGGAGCTCGAGACTTACGTGAGCCCGTCGGTCTGGAGGAATCCCGAGCCACATGCGAATCCGTATCCGTGCGGTCCCCACTTTTTCCCGTAACAGGTCTTGCAGTAAACATCCCGGTCCGGACCGTCGCAGGCGATGATCGAGTCCAGGGTCTTGGTGCAGTCGTGGCACTTGTAGCACTTCCGGTGCCATTCGCGGCCCTTGGCGAGCACTTGCTCGGCGGCGAAGACGACGCCACCGCAGCGGGGACAGCCCTTGCCGGGCGGGGCCTTGATTATCGCGGTGTCGATCACGGTGGTGCGAGGAGCCGCATCGCTGCACCGCAAAGGGTCACTCACATTATTTCGCCGGTCGTTCTCGGCGACATGGGGCCGATCATTGAACCGCAGGGATTATATGGAAAAGCGATTGATTCTGCCCAATCGTCTCCCAAGTAAATTTGATCAGGCATCTGAACTCCACAGAACACGGGAAACTTTGGGTTTTCCTCGATTTCAATTTTAATTTTAATTTTTAATTTTAACCCCGCTTTTCTTATCTCTGCGGCTCATTCGTGATATTACAAAAGAACGGAACTGCATGCGAATGACAGGATGATTGATCGTCGGTAATCGCTTGGCAAGACACATAGAAGAGATACTAAAGTTTTCCAATGTTTCGTCAACTCTTGACAAATCTTGTTAAAGAATGCAAAAAATTGCACAGTCATAAAAAGTCATTAAAATCACAATTGAAATTCCTGACTTTCTTCCGTGTCCGTAACACGCGATTACGAAGTTTTCATTTCGTGGAGGTTTAAGCAAATTATACGTCACACGTCTGACTTTCTATTTAATTAATTAATTAAGGGAAAATATGAAGAGCTCTAGATCGACTTACATATGACACGTGATTACTAATATGATATCTAGTCGCAGGGGATGTTAGCAATAACAATTCGGATTCTACATGAATTTCAGGTTTAGTTTCGGTTTTATAAGTATATACGTGCACACAAGACCGTACAGACCGTGTGATAACAGGAATGTCGAATGTATACGGAAGAGAAAGTCTCTAGCAACTATAAACGTCAGCGTGAGTATTCCACTAATGTAAAACGATCGAATTATGATCTGCCTGACTGAGAAATGACACTCGATATTCCGATACGATCAGCCGATTCGTGATGCCGGGGTGAGTAAGAGCGCAAAGCGTTAAGGCGTCGGTCTATATGTATGTATAAATATGTGTATATTATATATACCTACACATTATATGTATATATTATATATACACGGACACACACAGGCGCACGCATGTACACGGTGTTTTGGAGAAGGTGCGCGCCAATAGCAATTTTTCTTATACTCTTCGAGAAAATCGAGAGTGATTTTTTTCTCACAAAAAAATACAGCCTATCCATATAGGGTTGCCACAGACCTGGAAAACTGGGAAAAGTCATGAAAATTTAAATTGGCCAGGGAAAACCTGGAAAATTTAGGGAAATATGTATAAAAGAGTCTGGAATTTTGAACTTTGTTCACAAATGCTCTTATTCTAAAGAGTACTTATTGTTTTTTTAAATATCATAACATTTATATTTTATTTAGTGCTTTTACTCAATCGCCTTTTTCCCTACCTTCATAACGTAGTTCTTTTTCCAATACACATTATTTTTTGTTAGACTGAATTTGCATTCAAGATTATATTACGTTACTACTTCCAAGTTTGTGTTGCTTCTAATAAAATAAGCTGTATTTCCTGCAATCCCTGCTTCTGAATGTTAAAATTTAAGATTACGTATTCGTCATGGAAAATTCTCCATTATCGTCTGCGAAACATGGAAAAGTCAGGGAATTTCAAAATTCATTTTCTGTGGCAACCCTGATATATTATCTCTTTGATTTAAATCTTTGTAAATTTAAAACAGCTTTATAATACGAAAAAGTAATGAAAGAAGATTTTCTTCGTGCAAATTGCATATATATCTTTGGAAGTATAATCATGCTTGCAGAATATTACATTTGAATATTCAAAAGAAAAAGAGAGAGAAAAATTGCACAAATACTGACTTACATATTTAAATATTAATTTGCATTTTTTATTTCTCATTTTCTTGACTCATTGTAAAATTCGATTAAAATTAATATTGTTTCAGGATCTGAAAAGTTTATTATTCAACAGCAAGAAATAGTATTCCGATAATATTTTTACTTTTAAACTGTAACTAATTTTTGATAATTAATATTGTACTTTGCTTTTGAATATTTCTTATTTTCGTGTAAAGAATTCCTCGGGACAAAAGTATCCAATATTATTTTGTCAAAAATATTAAAAAAGAAATTGTTATACAGATCCGGAAGATTCATTCTTTCAATTTCAAATGTAAATGCTCACAAAATAGTAAGGGTGGTTTCTCGTTCTATATGCACAACGTGCAGAAGCCAAGAGATAAGCTCGACGAATTTTTTGATAAGAAAAAAATCGACGCAGATTACTCGAAGATAAAGCTGTCGCTACTCGCGCCGCTCCTCTTTCTCCGAGCACCCTGTTTACGCGCGCAAAATAATAATCGTCATAACTAAGGGGGCGCGTACCCCTCGTCCTCAATATCGCACTGCAGCCCGATCCACATAATCCCGGCGTGGCCGACACCCCGCGGACCGAATTTCTTCGGATAGCAAGCTGTTAAGCAGACAAGCGCATCATATATAGTGAAAGTGTAGAAGCCGAGGCGGGATTTCTCTCTCTCGCGTGCTTCCCATCTCAGTCCCGACTCTGAAAACCCACCCATTGGCGTAGCAGTCACTCTGCAGGGCGCCGCCACCCTGGCCGTAGCCATAACCCTTCGGTCCGAACCTCTTTCCGTAGCATACTGCAGACAATATCGATTAAAGGTTTCACGTCGCCTAACGTTATCTCGTGATGATGGTCAGCGACAAAGACATAATCGTACAGATACGCTAATTACTATAATACAATTTTTTATTTTCCTCTAGATTTTTTTATGCCGTCATACCAGTTTGTCCTTTGCATTAAACACATAATGCAGTGTAACAAATTGAAAATTTAATAAAATTTTAATTAATGTGTACAATATAGGATGTTTTAGAGAATTTTTATTATTATATGCATATAAAATATTCTAGAACTTTCAGACAATTATTTTCTAGCGACAGTAGATTCAGAAAACCTTGTGTATTTCAGATTACATTGTTTACATTAATATGCAATGATAAGTGAAACTTGACCGATATGTCACGTCGCTCGAAATAAAGACGTTCTCTTTAATATTTATTGGGTATACGATCACCACATGCCTCGGCGGTCGAAATGGCAAAAATGCCCGTCACGAATTGAAGGGAGATCCAGATTCGAAGCCCTGGCTGGAGTGATATTTTTCGCAATAAATTCTTTGCAATGATTTAAAATTTTAAAAGGTGCGCTTATTAGCATTAATTTTACATTAATTAATTATCGATTTAATTATATGAATTTACTATTCCAATAAGAGATTGTCTTTCAAGATCGATAAGTAATCGATGTGCAGAAGAAGTGTTTATTGAACGGAGAAAATATATAAATTTATACAAAAATATTACTGTAAAAGATCCAGCTTGATCAAAAATAGAGTTTCTCTATATTTATTTTAATGTGATTAGAAAAATATTCCTTACATGCCTCTTTTCAACTATATTTAGAGGTTCAACCGATTTCTTTAAGACGCAAGGGAAAAAATAGAGAATTCTATTTTTTGACAGTTTTAATTCTCCTAGTCTTGAAATAGTTGATCATCAATATTTTGGTAACATTTACATATATTATTCAGCGGCTCATGTGCGAAAAATATCTGCATATATGTGTTAAATCATAAATTAAATTAATTCTGTACCACATTTCGCATATCTTGTACGTTACGTCTTCATGCGCGCGATCGTACCGTATCCTTACCTTTGCAATAAATGTCCTTGTCAGGACCTTCGCAGCAGTTGACGGAGTCTAATCTTTTCGAGCAGTTGGCACACTTAAAGCATTCCCTGTGCCATTGCTGCACGAAACACAAAGGATGGGTTAGTCACTGAAAATTCTAAGGAGAGGCGAAAGTACTATTGTACAATATTACTTCCTTGTACAATCGTTTCAGGAGCGCAGACATTAAAAGCTCCTTGTATCCCGCCAAGATTTGTTTCAAGACAGTAGCAACGAGTAATGTGCTACTGTAAATCTTTATTCTCATTTAAGCTATTTTAATATTTATATCGTTCCAATACTCTTACGAAACTCACGCCGGCTTATATATTATAGCTTTTTCCTAGAAAACATTATTGTAGTAGTTTCAAGATAAAAATAATGATTTCTAATGATCCAAAAAGACATTAATATTGAATTCAGTTCAAACGGCTTTCAAAGTTATTACAAAATACTGCAAATTGATCTTTAAATAATTAAAAGTTAAGAAAACAAGATTTATTTTGAAATTATATGTTTCTTCCTCATTTTTTATAATATTTTATTCTAATTCTTAAAATTTTATTGATAAACTCTTGTTTATCATATTCATTTATAATATATTGTTTGACTATTTAAGATTTAAAAACTTTTTAAATTTCAATCTTATTATAAATAATACTCCTAACTTATAATACTTAATACTAAATAGAAAAATAAAACTTAATACTAAAACTAACAGCATTTTCACTAACAATATTTTTCGTAATTTGATCTCCGTTATTTATGATTTCCTGTAGTAGAGCGGTAATTCTGGCGGTCTAAATTCGTTCGGAACAAATAAACAGATATTTCGCGCGCCGCATAGATAACAAAGACGAGAAAAAAGAATGATAGAACAATTGATTAATCCTTCTTCTGTGATACCTTGCAGCCCTTGTATGTTCGGGGGCTGTTTCCTGGCGGCGTGGAAAGAGTTTACAAACTGATTTTAGTAGGTAACAACAACAAGAACGAACGGAGTCAGAACGGAACGGTAGACAGATAGATAAATACGTTCAGGAGATAATATAATCGTTCAACGTTTCAGAACACAGGACTGTCAGTACGGATATCTGTACAACAAATCGAGAAAGAATTAAGGAACTGGCCGTATAAAGGGTACTGCAGATTCTTTAGACGGAAGATACCTCGACAGTATATCTCGCGGTCGGGACCATCGCAATGAAGCGTCGAGTCCAGAGTACGGCGACACGTTTTGCACTTGAAGCACAGTTTATGGTAAGCCTAATCACAAGAACGAGGATTGACGAAAAACGGCGGTCTGCTGGAGTCCGACGAGACGTTTATCGGTTCTTGGTGCCGCGACGAATCGTCGAATATGTCAATTTCTACATTTCGATCGTCAGACCGAGTGCCTTAAGAGAAGTTTAGTGCTTTCCTTGATTCTACAACGGTATCGAAGATTTCATATCAGAGAGTGCATTCGCATGTGATGTGATCCAAGATTTAAAAATTTTGACGAAGTAGGGTCTTATCACAAAATTCAAGGAGACAATGTACGGATTCTTCGTTTTCAAGGAGAATTGCGAGCAGGAATTGCGTAACCGAATTCTCGCGCAAATAAGTGATTTCAACGGTACGCCGCGCGCCGGTGAGTCACGTCCACGGACGACGAGAAAGATGGATCGCCGTCGCCGTTTTCGCGCGCGGATTATCGCTGGACCAGATTGTCGGCCAGCAATTAGCCTCCATTTCTCTGGTTCCGAGCGGCGGCGCGGCGCTCCTTCTGGTAGCGAGCCATATTATCGCCGGGTATCGGGCCGGCTAAGATTGGCCGGCCAGTTGGTGCGCCGCCAAAATCATTCTCTCTGACGAAACCACCGAGAAAGTTTCTAGGCTAGCACACCCCCGGTCCAGAGAGCGAGGAATCTTCCTCCTTCTCCCCCTCCCATCCACCCCCGTTCCTCTCTCCCGGCCGCTGTTTTTTTCCGCACATTGTTATGAAATGGAGATTGGATAAGATTACGGGGACGCGTGACGCGGTCCATTACCACGCGCCGCGTGCCGAATTTAGACGCGCGGCAAAAGCCACGATACGCCGCGCGTTGCCGCAGCTGTTTTGTAATCCGCGCGACGCATTTTTGCCGCGACGCGGTAAGTTCCGTCCAGATTTTCCGAAATACATGTGAGTAAGCGCGACGATGAGGACGGCCGATTGCGTCAATCTGTCTGTCGTCGCGTCAGCGACCGATTTTATTGCTTCGCGTGCTAAATCGCGCACTACAATCCCGCAAGCCGCCCTCGCCCGTTGAAATATCCTCGCGGTTCGAGGCTGGCCCCACCCACAGGGGGATCGCAGCGCGCACCTAGATTAAGGCTGCAATTCGAGGAGTACGCGAGAAGGGCTATTTTCCACTATCGTCTGTCAATCTAAAAACAGAGATCGGTGGAAGAAGCACTTGATGAACAAATAAAAAAAAACCATATGGTCGCGTTTTGATTTCTGAATAAAAGTGGTAATTGCAAACCTATATATTACAAAATTATCTGGTATATTTACGTTCTATAGAACGTCTATAATTCGCACAGTATCCCGAAACTCGCACGCTTTCTATCAATTATCTTCACGAGTAAAAGATTAATAGTCCGTTCAACGTATCCGAAAGATTAATGAAAAAACTGTGTACTTATGATTAACTGAGGTATGCCGACTCTCCTTTAATCTTTTAAACTGCACGAGCGAACGATCAGTCGAAGCACCAAGGAGACGCAAGACTTCTATCGTTGTGCATTTAACGCTAAATACACATAATGTTCACACGTCGCTGGTAAACAATTAAACTTTGATGCTAATAGGATTTCTTAATTGATTGTTTGCCAGGGTCTCTATTTGTGTCGCATTTAGTGTTAAATGCGCACCGCGTACGCCTTATCTTTTAAATGGACTTACCCTTCCTCGGGCCAACATCTGCTCGGCGGCGTAAACGTACCCTCCACAGCGAGGACATCCCTCTCCCTCGGGTGCTTTGGCGATAGCTCGCGACTCGAGAACAGCGTTCGAACCTCGCGAAAATTCACCCCTAGAAATTCAGTTCATATATTAAAATCCATCCACCAATAAAGTTTACGCAATAATCGTCGTAAGGTTCAGAGGTAAAACGAATCATTTCATTTGTTATCACTTTCGACATATATTTACAATACTTTTTTTCATGGAGCAGTGTCTTTTATAGAGCTAAGAGGGATGATCCACCAAAATTAATTCGTTTTATCTTTGAATCTCATAATTCGGTAATCAGATGTAAGCATTGAACGTGGAAGCCATTAAATACAGCACACAGATAAAGTAATATTTAAACAATGAAATTGATGGTTCACACGTAAAGTAATAGATATGATAATTATAAAACAGAAAAGTTTAGTGACTGTAGTAATCGAAATAATTTATTAGAATTTGATATCGGAGTAATCCAGATTTTCCAAATCAAAGTTTTTTTTAAATCAAAGTAAACATTTAAGGAATTCAAATCTGGAAGTCTAAAGTATATTTTTGGAAATTTATGTAAATATGTTATAGACGTATGTATAAGAAAAAATGGAGAAGTTAAAACTAAAAAGAATCTTTAGCTAGGAAAGACAAAGTATGTATAAATAACAAAAATATTTTGGTTACTAAAGCAAAAATATAATTATCGAGCATTCATAACTATCAGATTAATTTATAGAAGCATAAGAGAATCTCTACCATATTTCGTTAATTACTTTTACATTTCAATAAAATACTTTACAGGGAATTATGAAAACTTATGATGTATATGCATAAGTACAAAATTTTAGGAAACTATTAAAATGCGTATTGTGATCCGTCAATTCCACTGAACACGTTCTAAACACTACTAGTCTACAGAAACAAATAGCGCCATCAAGACATCCCATTCCGACGAACATCAGAATTCTTCGAATAATCGGACGCAAATATACAAGAAGAATACGATGCTCTATTTTAAGATGCCCAATATCAAGTCTTGCATTGGTCAAGACGCAAGTACATGGATATTTATATGAACAAAATGCATATTTTGCACCACTTGCTAAATGATTCTTGGACAAGTATTACAAATAACTTACATTCGTTTAGTTAGCCTTTCGAAAAATCAACATTTTTTTAAATTCTATCTGATACGTAAGGTACATCAAGTACAATATATCAAATGTAGAAACTTGAAACTTATTTAAACTTTCCAAACTCTAAAATAAACTGCAATAAAATCTTACATAAAGTCAAAAACTTTTGTTCCGATTTTGCATTAATAGTTAATATCTTCTTGCATTATATCCGATTTTCGTTGGAGACATCGAAGAAAGTTACGTCAAATTTGATAAGGCCGGGAGATAACATAAAATACATCAAATAGTATTACGGGTTAGCTTGTTAGGCAAGTGTTAGTCAACGTGTTAGCGTAATTTTTCCCCTTCGCAACCACGGTACGTGGCTTCCGCCGAGCCCCGAGAGAGGAGAGCCGAGAAGCAAACCGTACGTGTAATACGGCATAATTGTGCCAACGAATAATTTGTCAAAAAAAGAAAAGGAGAGACAGACGGAGAGAGAAAGAGAGATAAAAGAGAAGGGACACAGGGAAGAGGGGAATATAGAAGTGCCGCCGTGTCGGGTACAGTGTGGAGAGCCTGTGCGTGCGTATACGCACGCATCCGTACCGTGAGGTGGAATATCATCGACACAGTGAAGTAACACCGATCGTGCCTGTCCTCCTTGTAGCGTGACAATTGCGCCGCTGAGATGGGGTTTTACATTTACGGTACAGTGGTGTATGTACAGCGGAATACGTGAGCGGTGCAGATGCACATGCACTTATCACGATTGGTTGTTTAGATTCGTCCTGACGGCCCAGAAACGATCCAAAAGCGTATTGGACACAGTGTGCTTGATCACTATGTGCCAAACTTAATAAAAGAAAAACTGTACATGTTAAGAAATCCCGCGAGTATGCTCGAGTAAAGTGTTAAAATAAACTTGATCTTTGAGGTATAATTTAGTAATAGGTAATAATATAGGATAGGTAGCCCACACTTTCTTTCATTTATAAGTTCATTGACCGATTTGCACGTATCTGATTGAACATCTTCTTCCCCCGCTATCTTTAAATTTAAATAAAGCTTCTTCAATTAAATTCAATTTTAACAAGGCTTAATTCACGAAACTGAATCACTTCTTTTCTATAATTTACAATCTAATTTATAGTGTATGTAGAGAAAGAGAGAATTGTATCTTGAAATATTTATACCAAGGAATAATTCTCTTCGTTTAAGGTCAATGAAAAGGCAGACAGGGAAATCTGAGACATTCAGACACAGAGCACGACAAGTGCATTTGCAACAGACTGTGTGAACACGCACTGTATCCTACTAACTACTGACTACCAACTAAGGAACATAGCCGACAGGTATGAGGGCTCATCTCAATGGCATTATCATCGCTACTTCGCAACATTGTCGCTGTCGAGAACGGTGTTGGATCGCCGTTACCTCATTATATCGACATAGTACGCGAATACACTAACACGCACGCGGGCACGCACGCACGTACACGCACGCACGCGCCAGCACCCACGCAAGTAGTTAAGGCTAAGTGTTAGCGAGATTATAGGATTAGAAGTGGTGCGAGAGAGGCCATGCAGGAGAGCTACGTGTATATAAGCTACAAAAAAGAAAAAGAAGCTTCGTCACGCGGCGAAAAAAGAAAAAAAAGGAGAGATAGCGAGAGAAAGAGAGAGAGAGAGAGAGAGAGAGAGAGACAGAGGCGCAATTTGACTCGATGCTCACCATTCTTGTACTCGGTATTTTCTCTTTATCACGCAGCTCGTACTATGTGATAAAGTAACAACGGTATATTGTTCAATGCTTGCCTCCGGTTGGCTCGTGCTCGGCGGGGCTGGCGGGGGCGGGGTGTGTCGTGTGTTTCTTTTCTCTTATTTTCGTTCTCGTATACATATATATATATATATATACACATTTTTATCTCTTTTTTTTCGTAAGCTTCGTCCCCTTTCTCGGCGAAAGAGAGCCTGAAGGGAGGAAGACGAAGGGCCGAGGATGCGGGTTTCGTACGCAAAGGCTCGACGTCACAGAGAAACAGAGAAGGAACACGTGCGGTGAAACGTGTGCACGCTTCAACAGTCTACTTCCGTAGATTCATAGAGTCTCTCGTGTCGTTCAGTCCCGGTCAAAATTACAGTCGTACGTGTTGAAAGCGAGTTCGCGCTTCAACGCTATGGATGTATGAAAAAGTGACGTTTCGACATTTATTCGCGATAATAGGATAATTATCTTAATAACTCTCCGTATTCCATAGCATTCAAAAATCTTAACTTGTCGAATTTATCAGTTTCAATATCTGATTACACGGAATTCAAAGTAGACTCGCGCACGGTAATTTATATTGAGGATTTTGCAACTTTGACCGGGCTCAACTAGCGTGGCTCCGTTCTGCGTTTTTCGAACGATGCGCTCGTTATGCACGTCACTCGTACATTGATAAATCTGTCTACACACTGAAAGGTAATGGGGAAACGTGTGTTATATTCGTTAATGAAAGACACCGCTTGGTTGTTTTGTTTCCAGTTTTATCTTTCCCTTTTTTCCACTTTTAATGGCACTTATTACAGATGGTACAAATGATCCTATAAACTAGCGTATGTATTTCGCATAGAAGAAAAAAAAAATTAACACAGAAGAAGAAGAAGAAAGAAAAGAGAAAGAGAGAGCACAATTCAATCGATCGGACGTGACGATGTTGGCCGGTCACACCGGGAGACGATGAGGGAAAAAGGATTCGGGGAAAAGGGGTTAAACGTTGGACTAAATTGAACGTCGTTCACGATGTGATGCACGACGGTGACGCGAGAAGTAAGATCGACAAGGTAAGGACGGATCTTTTTTCGAAGAGGATAGAGAAACGCGGTGACATGCTCGCCTACGGTGATGACAGACTCCAAAGAGGTGGGAATAAAACAGTCTGGTCCTAAGGGACCCTCTAGATTCAACTATCAGGACACGAAGGACCGTCTAGATCTAATTCTTATGAGAGAGAGAGAGAGAGAGAAAAAAAGACAAAAACCGAGGCGGAGATGAGATTCTCTCTTCGTCATGCATCGAGAATTTAAGAAAAAGGAGAAGGAAAATGTAGAAAAACGCGATTCACTCTGTCGGACACGCTGTACACGTATACATAGACGCGTGTTCTCCTGGCATCCTGGACGAGTTTGCGCAGGCAGCGGCTTCTTCCGAGTTGCTGGAGGCGCGATTGACCAAGAGAAGAATTCATGCTGATGGATCACGGGCGGTTCACGGACGGTTGGTCGGTCGATTTTCAGTTTCGCACACGTGGAGGATGTCTTTACGTGGAGAGGGTAGTACAACAGAGAGACGCTCCCGACGTGGGACCACGTTGGTGGTAATGCTACTCAGGAATAAGGGAAGAAGAGGGGGGTGGGTGTCGGGGGTCGAGGTTGTGCGACGGCAGATGCCACTCACTCGTTCTTCGCTTGAAGATGCTCGCCTTGGTCCATGGACAGGCAGCCAGCTCCGCCACCGAAGCCGTAGCCCTTAGGGCCGAACTTGCGGCCGTGGCAGACTTTGCAGAACAGCTCGCCCTCGTGCTCGGAGCAGTTTGTCGAGTCGAGCGGTTTGCCGCAAAGACCTGCAACACACGGTCGTCGTCCGTCGTTGGAGATTACGGCGCTTCCTGCTGGATGTACTCGAGTGTCGAGGTGTTAAGTACCGTAAACTATTCTGTGCTACCACGGGATACTTGAACAAATGTCTAACTTATTTTAATTCGGCAATTTTCTAAGTGTATATCTCAAATAAGCATATTTTGTAATATTCTCACTTATATTCTGCACTTTATTGTCGAAGAATAGCGCGTAAATATTGACGTAAATGTATTTAAGTATTGGAGTGCCATTATTTTCTGCACAAATATAAAAAAATATATAATATATTTTTTAAATTCATACATATATTATATATTTTTACACATATACAAAAAGAGTAATATTTTATTGATACGCAAATGAAATATTCAAAAATATTTACTGTAATATTAATATAAGATACGTTAATTCACTTATGATTTATTTCTTAAAATTCATTCCTTTTTAGAAATAGTTATTATGTATGCATCTTTTCAAGCCACGGCAATGTTCAACAATGAGATTATTGTGAATTATTCACATCGGTCATTGCACCCGAAAGCACACTACCGGACAGCCGACAATTGATTTTTGGCAACCTGCAGACCTGATTACAATCGCGACGGGCTAACCGAGCATAAAATTTATTTTAAACCAGCCTAAAAATAGGAAACTCGATAATGTTTTTCGTAATGAAATTATTCGGTCATTCTACAGTGCACATGTCACAGAACACATAGAAAAATACACCATTAAATTCAGATAAAGAGATAAGCTTCAAACAAATTTTGAAAAAGCAGAAGCACATAAAAAATAAATTATTTTATGTCTCTTATGTTAATGCATTTTTTTACGAATAAAATTGAGCGTCTCAAATTTACTGAAATATCTGGCTATTTAAATGGTGATTGCGTACAACAATGCGCTGTTTCCACTTATACTGTTTTTATTATAAGAAAATATAACTGTTCAGAAATATCATTTTTATATCAATTAAAAGCTTTCAATAAATAAATTTATAAAAATGTACTTGTATTAAAGTATGCTATTTGCACGATAAATGCTTTTGTTAATGTCTATGTAAAATTAAAAATACCTGTTTATATTAAAAAAATTTTTGTGTATATGTATTATAACATCTTTTTCCTTCATATTTTTAAGTTACAAAATGACATCGGTTCTCCTGTTAATTTCAAAGTATTGATTCGTTGCTCTTATGTGACTAAAAAGAACACTTGTTTGCATTCTCTCTATTTCTAAAATTATAAAATTACGTTTGTTTACTCACCGCACTTGAAGCACGTTTTGTGCCATTTCAACCCACCGGCAACTCGCTCTTCTGCAGCGTAAACAGATTTGCCACATTTAGGGCATTTTGGATGTTCCACGGGCTTGAAAGGCATTTTTATACTGAAAAGGAAACTCTGTTAACGCGCGTTATCTTACTGCACCGAAATTAGTCGCAAATCAATCATCGTCATGTCAAGTCGAGAAGCTGTTGTAGTGTCAAATTATTATTTTATACTGTTAAACAACTGAAAAAATGATAATCTTAATCTTATGATAATTAGTTCGTAACGCTAATACAATTAGAAGTGCATTATAATTATTTAAACGTTGGAAATGACTTTTATTCTTAAAAAAAAATCTCGTGGAAGGATCTGAACGAGAGCAACACAATTTTATAGCGAAAACATTTTATCAAAAATTGTATAGTTTCGAAATTCAAAATCCGTAATCAAATTCGACATCTTTATTAATATCGAGAGGAATCATCGCCGGTACGGTAACCCATTTCGGTTACCTAACCGGTCGCTTACGAGGACGTAAACAATCCGCGTTTCCGTCTGACTCGTCGGCAACCAGTTCTATTTTTGTGGCCAGCTTAAAGCGCGCGCACGGTTGAGCAAGTGGAGGAACGAACTATATAGAAAGGGGAATAAAAGTATATCACGCACGACATACTGAAGCATTGAACAGATGTACGATGGTAAATATGTCTTTCTACTTACATAGAGGAAATTTTGTTAATAAGTTCGATACATTTGAATATTTGAAGAAATTGCGAATTATATCAGAAGTATTATTTAATAATATAATAATTATATTAATAGAGCGAAACTGGAAACTAAATGAAAGAGAAAAAAAGTTTATTCAAAGCCTAGATATCAGTAATTTATTTGTTAAATAAAAGAATAAAGAATTTTAGCGAATTAAGATAGAAAATACATAAATAATGAAACATTAATCTTACAATTAGATTATTTTCAAGTAGACGTATTGTCATTTTTCCGATAATAACTATCGATATATAGATTAAAACATTATATTTTGAATTTTATTGCACTTAAAATTCTTTAAATGATATCTGCATGAAAGAACAGAAGAATTTATTTATGTATCCAAATGTCAAACGAAACGAAAGTAATATTGTATATTGTCATTACAGATATTTACTATTTAGATATTAAAATTTCGATGATTTCGGTAGAGATACAATGTAGAAAATCTTTAATTATTTAAAATGGATATTTGCGTCCACTGTATAAACTAAGCTACTGTTGTTGAAAACGTAGAAGTAAGTACATAGCGATTGATCTACACGCTTGTTGCAACGAAATAGTGATGATATCTGGCACAAACATTAATGGTTGTGCGTAATAGCGTTTGGCAATGCTAGTTAATCATATCACGTAGCAATAATATTTCGCTTTAACAGCATACACAGATAATGGTGATGATAGTAGTTACATTTGGCACAATGTCGTATAGGTATAATGCATTATAATAATATTCTGCAAAAATAAAATAAATACAGCGATAATAGTTGAAATAAATATAAAAATAAACTAATTACTTTAAATTTATTATTACTGCAATAGTACTTGCAGTTATAATAAATTGTGCGCCTTTCTATAAAGCGTAATTTTAAATATCTGGTTTTTTATTCTTATCCTGCTGCCTGACCACGCGTCAAAAATAGCTTAAACTATTTTCATTACTATTATAGTTGTTATACGCATTATATTATCTATCATTGTTGCAAGAATTTAATTTTTAAATTGCAAAAAGTATACGGATATTATTCTACATATGGAGTAGTAAAAGCCATAGTAATGTAAGTCAATTTTTTTAAAATATCGACTCGTGTGCATAGATGCAATTTATATATTGTGTAGATTGCATCTATACACACAAGTTAATATTTTAAAAAATTTGACTACACCACTATGGCTTTTACTCCTCCATATAACAATGATAAACGCCTGTGAAATGGGGAAAATGTTTAGCGACTCTGTCGAATGTGCTGTATTACTACTAACAATGGTAGGAAATAGTAGAGATATTTATATCTCTTTTTTAATTTAAGTTCAGAAATAAATTTTACGTTACATCGAATATCTTTTAATATTGTTTTCGTTTTCCTACAGATTCTATATATTTGCAACGTTATTTTATAGATATGTACTAGTTTAAGCTATCCGGCGTTGCCCGTCGAACAACACCCGTGAAAACACATTTTACTTCTTTTCACCCCGTCAGGGGCCGAATTTCTAAAAATCCCTTCTTATTGTTAGTGGATGCTTACGTTATGGAAGGAATATACTCCCTGAATTTCATGTTTCTAGGTTTAGGTGTTTGGGCTGGACGTTGATGAGTCAGTCAGTCAGTCAGTCAGGATATTTGTTTATATATATGTACAGAGTGTCCCAGAATATTTTTGCACTCTTTTTGAGTACAATAGATCAGTGTCCATAAAATTGAATTATGTCCATCCACTTTACAATTTTAAGTGGAAAATTTTACTCTGTTAGTCATTTATCAGTCGATCTTCAGTGAATCGTGATTCACTCCGGTAGAGTTGCTCTAAAAATTTAAATAGAAAATTCACTCTTATCTTATGAGCGCCCGCATTTACTCAAATTAGATTTTTGGAATTAGATTTTGGAGGACTATCATTCTAATATATTAGTGGCGAAATCATTCTATGAGATTTAGAAAGTAGATTTTAAATATTTTCAAGTGTAATAAATGCAATTCCAATTGTCAAAAATATAAAAGTATGTGCATATTTAATTAATCATATTTTACTTTTCTTATACTCACCGATTTTTTTACTTCGCATAAATTTATTAAAAAATTATTATTTTTCTAAATATGTAATTCTATAATAAATTAAATTTTATAATTTTGCAATTTTTATTTTTTAAACCGAATAAGTAACATTTATTTTTTAATGTTATTATTTCATTTATTAAAATTTTACTTCAATTTGCACTAAAGCTTCTATTTATATGTAATTTACTTATTGTTAGATGTAAAGAATTCAAATTCAAATTCAAATTACAGTTTGTAAATTCAATTATTTAAAATACATCATTAGAGAATTAAATCACAAAATCTTATTCGTAAAATTTGAAGATTATTAATAAATAACTCAAGAAAAATAATAGAATCTATTAATGAGATCCAACAATTAGACGATTTTACATCGAGGAGTCAGCTTACTTTGCTTTACTCTGATGTATATATAGTCTTTATAAAACAAATTTGTCAAATTTAAAAATAATGAACCAATACATAGAAAATAAGCCATCAGTAAAATACATATTTTAGTAGCCGTGTTATCATAAAAACATAGTATGTTTGCTATGTAATTTGGATTAATATTTAATAATATTCTATTTTCAATTAAATATTTAAATAATTATTCATTCCCCTTGAAAAATTGATTTTAATTCATGTCTATACCGTTCATGTACCCCCGGTAGCGATTAGCGCGTTTTAGCTGCATAAATTCGCTCCGTTACCACTGACAGTAGTATCTGGTAACGATATGACACGCCAGTAGTAGTAGAAGCAGTAGAAACAGGCGGCACCGCGCTAAAGAGAAAGAAAGAGAGAAAGAGAAAGAAAGAGAGAGAGAGAGAGAGAGAGAACGCGGGCGATTCTATATCCGTGCAGACGCGTGCAGGCGAGTCCGCGAAGCCGTATTAGGGAAGGCGCTAGGTTCTCCACGATAGCGGTCTCCTCGTTTTACCCCTACCGTTCAATCGCACGCATATTCGTGGATGGAATGCGCGGTAACCCAACGCGTGTCCTGCCACGCCGATAGGGCTGCAAAGTGTCCCTACACGTCGAAGTGTTACGTTACACGCGAAAATAAGAAACCAGGCACCAACACGTTAACTCGAAATTTATAAGATTCATCTGTTTACATTAAACATCCTTTAGTATTTCTGCATATAATTTATACATTATTCAATCATTATTAATTAATTGTTGTATATCATGCCCCGCTAATAATGTTTATATAGACTTGTTATTAAATTGATTTAACAATTTAAAGCATTAATAGTTATATAGTTATATTTATTATATATTAGTATTATATAGATACAGTACAATATATTACTTTGTCATTGGAATTTCCAAAATATTAAAAACTTGGATTTTATGTATATTACTTATACATGCATATTATTAATGTTAATAAAAATATACAATGTCCATGAACCGCACAATCTTTACTCTTAAAACTTCAAACCCCGGTGTTAATAAGTTGTTGAAATGAGTCATGATTTAAGGACCTGCGCAATGTTGACGAGCGCTATAATTAAATGAAAATATGTATAATAATGATACGAAACGGCCAAGAATGAGCAATTGTAGCGATGTGGTAAGTGTTGGCATTAACAAACGCGTGTATGAATCATCGGCAATTATCATAAATTCTTGCTTTACAATATTTAAGCTTTATACTTGTAGCGAAAAAAATAATTTACCAAATGAGAAAATAATTACTTAACGAAATAAAAAAGTTTTTTGTAACAATTGGAATTGATCGGAATAAATAATTTCTCCCGATAAAAAAGAATTGAATTTAGCTTTTGTGAATATCTGAAAATATTATCATGGCATGTGTATCAAACTAAATTTGCTAAATCATATTTAGATAGCGAATGGACGAATTTCGGATCCTAAAATTAGATCGTGCTATAAAAGTATAAAGAAACCCTAATAACCCGATGACTTGCGTGATACATTATTACATTTAATGTATATCTATATAATAAAACATTTTAAATAAAACATATGATATCTCATGTTACATCAATTCGAATGAAGAAATCAAAATATTATCACGGTATACGAGAATCTCCATCCTCCTATACCTGCCTATTACTCTTCGAGCATTAGTTTGTTAAGTAATATCGTCCAAATTAAACGTTGAAATTATAGAAGAATTCTTAATTCTCAATTCTCCTTCATTCGTAACAGATGAAGGATATCTCTGACGTATTCTTGAAACATCGCTAATTCTCTTATCGCGTTAAAAGTATATTAAATGTTTAAATAACAGCCTTTTAACGTATTCGTTGGAAAATCCATGTTCTTATCCAGGCTTGCATTTTATAATTAACTATCAACTTACAAGTAATGTTATAATGATTTTATAAAATAAGCATCGGGACTATTTGGTTAATCATGTTCGCTACTTCGCTCAACGTGGTAATAATATCTCGTTCGAATTTATTTGATAACTTAGTTTAATTAGCATCGCCAGCCGACGAGAGACTGTTTCAGTAACTAATAATAGCGGGGGAAATGCGTTCGTATTTTTAAAATTAGTTCGGTAACTCAAATACACATGATAATAATAACTTTTATGATTACATGCAACTTTATTTTATGCAAAATTTATTTAAACGTTATTAAATATCGCAAATATTGTTTAGAATCTATTCGGAAATTTTTATATAAAAAGATTATTATATTTTACTCATGTTTTAACTGTCTATGTGTTTCTTTAGATACAAGAAGCATCATCAGTGTTATAAATTTAATTCACTAGAATTGTTAGATTTGATCAACTAAAATTTATTTATTTATATATTTATTATAAGAGTATAATCTTTAAATTTCGATATTTTTATTCCTACTATTTTTATTCCTTCATCCTTTCTAACGTCTTAGGATCGGCGGGCAGATTAGTTTGTCAACTTTATTAATATCTCATATGTCTAATTATAACGTAATACAGAATCTATGTTGAGTGATCGTGATTCTATTTTAATCTCTACACGATTAGATATTAAGGACATTAGATTTTCCAGCATGCCATATTCATCTTAGACAGCACAGACATCTTTCGCCCTGTCCATCTATGCGGTCTGCCCCGCCAATTATCGTTAAATCTTGTTAACTATATCTTCGTTTATATTATTAAATAAGGCTATAAAATGTTCCTCAAATTCGGGATCAGCTTTCGACCGAATCGTCAAAATCCTTCCATATATAAAAATATCCTAATCAAAATTTCAACTTAAAAGGGACGGATTCAATTGTACGAAATATTTTTTACATGTTTTTTTTTTTACTTTTTTCTGTCTCCAATATAATAAAAATGCGTAAATTATTAATTTAAAATAAAACACTGTATAATTTAAAAACAGTTTTCTAAAATTCAGAGTTAGATAAGACTGTGTGATAAGTTAGCAATTTTATCAGAAAAAACTAGCGGTCCAGTTGGCTGCATGGGTAAATTGACAGATTTATTGTATTTTATATCCTTTATAATTAAAATAATAACTTTATAAACATAAATCACTGTTGCATAAATAGAATCAAAATTTTTTGAACTACATAATTTGGCAAACAATTAGTACCGCTTAAGAAAGATCATCATTTGATTGCAAACTGATCTTTAAAAAAAATTTCGGAAATATTATCAATCAATAATCGACAATTCACCCAAGTAGCTGACCTGATGTATGTTCAAAGATCTCGATGAATATCTTTCATGGCACTAAACGAGTCTCAGTACTTCGGAAGAAGACACACGAGGAAAACAGACAAATCACGAGGCTGAAGTAAATCACGCTTGCAATGATTCTACGTGCACTTCTTCAGAGCGATACAGATAGCGATATTTGTGTATTGTCGTCGGTGTCGTCGGTATATGCGGCATCGATCGATGCGGCTAAGAAGAGTGTCATCAGCGATAGTGTCTGATAGTAGTAGCAGTAGTATATGGTATGTATCCGCGCCACACTGTTATCTCTTGGTACTCACCACTAATCGATCGTAGTCGCGCGAGAAAAAGAAAGGAACAGATAGAGAAACGAATAAAGAGAGGGAGGAAGAGAGAGAGAGAAGATTTCGAGTAAGTGGATTACAAAACACCGAACACTCTACACCGCACTAATACTGGATTCGAATGACTGTGCTCGCGTCGGGAGCGTCCTAGTCATAGCCCCCCAGGCTTTGCACACGGCACGTGTGCAGTGGGAACGTCAATGCTTTTGATGATGCTGCGCCGCCGGTGGCGATGATGGCGAACGCCAAAGGGCAGCGGGGATTCTTCGCTGAAGTAAGATTTAGGTCTTTGGGCCGAAATATGTCCGCCAATAATCTCTACAGGCCTATCACACACTTCAAAGTCTGTCTAATAATGATTTTCGATAGTAAAACGCTTCGATTAATTTAATTTCTCGACTATAACTCTACAAGTTTCGATATTCTTTTATTTCGTTTATTTTTTACGAGATTACGATACTTGTGTAGAAATGTATTTATTATTTTTTAATTTTCTAACAAAAATTGATTTAATTTTCTTTTTCAATTACTATCCGCATATTATTTTGTTATATATCGTACATTTCATATTAATATTTAATAAAATGTTTATTTGTAAATTTGCCTAATATATTTACGAATACTGATATTGACAAACAATCTACAAACTTCCCAACTTTATTATTGTATAATATAACTAATTTAGATTATTCAAATTTGAAATGTCTTAATTAAAACATTAATGACAACATTATCTGCAATATACTACACTCACTTAATGATTGCAAAATATAACATTAGAAACAAATAATATTATCAAAAATCGAGATCCATTATTTATTTTGGACAGGAGATTAGCATCTCTTCGTGCTTCTTTAAGAGATCCATTATTTTTGAAGATAGTAAAAGATTGATGAAATATCAAGAAGAAAACATAAAATATTTATATATTTTCCAGAATAAACACATCATTTTTCTTTTTTCAGAGCACTGAAAGTATTCATTACTTTTGATTCTGAAAAGAAAATATTCTACACTTACTCAGATACAAAATTTTATAAATATAACCTTAAGTCTCAGAATGACATTAGTTGCTGTGAAATATTACAGAATTGATAACAAAATTTATAATACGTAAATAATATGACAAATTATAATATATTTCAGTAGCTGGCATGCCATAGAACTCTCGGGATACCGGACATGACCTGTCTGCGAAAAGAAGCAAGAAATGCCTCGCAGTCTAGTGAGTGACACTTACGTGTACCGTAAATTAGTAGTATGTTATATTTATCCGCGATAATAATAAAAGTGAATCATTGTTGCGATATTATTATCCCCATTTGGGTAAGATCAATTCAATAAGATTATTTTACTTACCATTAATCAATGGTTCATTAGCATGTGTTGTGTAAGTAAATCATCAGAAAATATATATTCTCAAGACAATTCTAGATCACGAATTAACATAAAAGAAGTAAAATTTTCTTCGTTTAGCAACTTTTTCCTAGAATCAAGAGCCAGTATTAAAATATACATAAGATTTAAATGTTTAGCGCATTATAATTTTTTTTTATTAAAATTCTCAATGTTAAAATCTTTAAAGTTAGATTTTTTTTAATTTAATCAATGCGCCCGATATCACTAGAAGTTATAAAAGTTAAAGATATAATATATAGTTCTTAAAATACATAGTATGTCATAGTCGTATATGATATTTATGTACTGAGAAGGCTGTGCCCATGTTAAAATACACGTTTGAACATTACAAGATTCGCTTCGAAAAATGTAAATCTCCGCAGACTCATGATGGAAAATTCCGCCCCGAGAAGAGAGTTATAATTGTGAAGAAAAGTAAAAATACATCGAAGACGGTAGACGCGAAGAATTCCGAAGGATACCCAGTTAATGAAACATCGCAAAAATATGCGAAGTTGTCGTTTGAACGACTCCCACATGCTTGATTTTTTTCTATAAATATTCTCTTAAGCTTTTATAAATATAATTTTACCAAGTGTTAATTTACACTATTTCACGAAATTGAATTTCACGAAATATAATGGCAATGTGTGTCGCAGTTTTCATACAAAAGACAGTAAAACAACGTTCTGTTAAATTTTATCAATATGTCACACTAAAAAAGAAAAGAATTTTATTTTCTGTTATACTACCAATTTTATTTCATACATTCCTATCATATTATATCCTTTTTTACAATTTTTATCATAAAATAATCCCTTCTTTTTTAATTTTTTCAAGTTATCTGCTACATTAAATTGTGCCCTATGGTCAATATGATTGACCACACCCACACACACACACACACACACCTACTCTAAATCTTTCTATAAAGAATCCTCAATTAAGATAATTGTCAAAGAGTTAAACAGAGTGATCAATACACACTTAAAAATTTAATTCAATAATCATCGTTGTGATAAATCGCAATTGTTTTCCGTAATCCACCGTGCTGAGGAATTTTTGACCGGCCTAAAATTCCTCGGCTAACGGGTGTGTTCCGTGTTTTCGAGCACCCTCGTTTTAGCCGCGGGATTCCTCATTTCGCTGAGAGTGTGTGAGCGAGAGTGTGGTAGCGCACGCGAGGGGGCCGCGATCTCTCGCCTTTTCGTAACGGGGTACCACGGTGAGCGCCGTGGTAAGAAGCCGCGCGGCCACACACTCATCTCGTCTAATAATAATATCTTACTCAAATTTCTATTTTTAGGGAGATATACGTGTGCGCGCACGTGCCTTTATGTAAAAGGCCCAAGTATATGGTTACGCACGCCTACGTGCGGGCCGCGCTTACGGTTATGAAGACGACGACGTCTCGAATTATTATTGCACACCGGCGGAATGTAATGTCTGCCGTGGATCTAACAATGTAACGGCCAAGATGAATAACAGAGCAGCACCGCTAAGAATTTACATGATACTTAGTCGTAATTTCAAACTGCATATAGAATAAATAATATAGAATAAATAAATGTCATGTTATTAACTGTGGTATCTACACCGTAACTTTTCATAATATGTTACGTAGATGTGTACAACACACAGGAAGTTATTGTCGCGCCGCAAGGTTGACTGTACTTTGATAATTATAAACAATATAAAACTTGAGAAAAGTATTACATAAAAGAATATTTTCAACGTTATCTTGTCCATGACTAAATAATTGTAATACGCGTATATGAAAAATTTGCTCTTGAGATTTTATATGATGTGTTGTACATAAAGCTGATTACAATTCTAAAAAGAAAAAGAAAACAGAAAAATAAGATGTATTTAAATGTAGTTAAAAAATTTATTTATTGGTTTAATATAAGTAATTCATTTACCGCACAATTTCTTTTACATTGTAAAGTATTATATACATCTATATAAAAGCGTACCACGAGTATACGATCTCACATTTCTCTCTCCTTCGGCGCTCCTGAAGCGTTGCGTTAAACTGTTTCTGTTATCCCGCTAACTTGAATTTACTCGCCTAGCAGGCGGCGCTCGTTATTCGCTAAGCTTGACAAGTTTACGCGCCGCGGACTATTTGCTCGCGAAAGTAAACTACAGCATGCCTGCTACGAAGTACTACGCGTGGACCTTCCGCTGCGGTAGCAACGACGAAGGTGGCCGATGGCTTCCGGTATATTCTCAATCTAGCACACCGGAGATCCGGTAATACTTTACGTACGCGCGCACACGGTAAGGCCGCTTCAGCAATTTTACATAAAAGCCGCGCGCGCATTTATCGGCCTGAAAATAGAAATTTGAGCAAGATATTATTATTAGACGATGAGTGTTCTCGCGGTTCTCAAATCGGTCCGCCCGTTTGTTACCGTGGAGCCGTCGGAGGACGGCTGCCCATACTTCACATCCTCCTCCACCCGTCTTTCTCCTTTGATCTATTAACGCGTAAAATCGTTTCTTGTAGAAATATTCACGTTTTCATTACGTGTTATCTTCTCGCAAGAATTTTGTTTCGCTTATTAGAATTATTTTACGAATCAGAGTTTTCTTTTCTTTATACATATCTTTGAATTTATCTCATGATGTGTATATAATCTATTATATCTGCATTATTCATATTATACATACAACTGTGTGTATAGATACACACAATTTTATAAATTATACGAATTGCATATTTGCTATAATAAACAGCAAATTTTTATAACTTGATTAATAATATATGCCTAACTTGCGACCGTAATTTTAACGATGGTCTTGCTGAGCTCAAATAAAAATTCTAAGCCGAAAATGAGTTTATAATAGATACTTTTTTAACAATATTTTAGAAATATTTTTTAAAATAAAAAACGTTTAAGACGTTGGCGAATCAGTTCGCAAACCAAAGTTTTCAACAATCAGCCAATAAATAGCACAACATGAAAAGTACCTTTATCTCTTATAATATTTACTTAATTAATAATAAATAATAAGTATTGATTTAATTAATAGCAAGTAATAATAATTAAAGATAAATAATTAATTAATAGTGCTGAAATCTTTCGTTAATTGTATCATACTTAAATGTAAATAATTATTATTTGTATATAGAAATAATAATAACCGCGCAAAAATATTACAAAATATCGAATATAATACATGATAAACTATTAAAACTTGTATGAAACATCTTATATGTCAGTTTCTTTTATGTACTATTTTTATTTTTTAAAGTCATTTTCTTGCACGTTTCACTCAATGTCAACGCTACTTTTTTAAATGTAGATAAAACAGATTTCGTATAATTTGTCAATGCTCAGTGAAAAATTTGTTGACGCGAACATAATTAAAATTATATAATTAATTGCTTTAATGTCAATGCACATATATTTATTAATACACTGCAAATCCAAGTATGTTTTAACTGAATCTCTTCTTACACATTTCTTGCCGTTTTAAAAATCACGTCATTAAACATATTAACTTTTAATACGATTAAACGTGTTAATTTAGCACGCAACAAAGCATGTAAAACGAGCTTCAGTCAAATGTGTCATTTTTAGACGTTTATGCGTGTAGAAATAACATACTTGGATTTGCAGTGTAGTGAAAAGCCGGAGAGTCGACATGCTCGGATTTTAGGTGGAATCTAAAGAGTGGAATCCATCCACTAGCGCCTCTAAATGCACAAAACGTGCACC